GTCTTGAAACAGCATCTGCCGACACATTGGATCAATCTCTGTGGGCTCCTTTGATCGGCTCCGTTACATAGTGAGGGTGGGTAGTCTGAGATCTGACCTTGTGGGGCCTTGGGGTTGATGTGGAGGCGGGTGTATGGGTTTGGGGCCCCGGGGGGGTTGCCGGGGGCTGGGCTCTTGGGGGTACCTGGGCAGGGGGGCACTGCTTTCCCTCTGGGGAGGGCCTGGGTGGTTCTGGGGGATGTCTGCTGGTGGCTGCATGCAGGCCCTCAGGTGGTCTGTGGCGGCGGTCGTGGGTCACCGATCTGGTAGCCTGGCTGTGCTGGTGTGGGTTCGGGGTGGGCGCGGGGGCTTGGGGTTCTGGGGGCTTGTCGCCCCCGGGCTTGGGCCTGTGGGGTTCGGGGATCTTGGGCTCTGGCGGGCGGGTTGCCGGGCTCTGGGCCGGCTTGCGCTCTGGTGCCCGGTTCTGGGCGGGGGCCTTCGGCTCGCTGGTGGGTTGTGGGTTCATGGGCTGGGGGGTTGGGTGTTTGGGGGCGTGACCAGTGGCCCCTAAGAGGGGGTAGTTTGACCCAGCCTAGGTGTCTAGTGTGCTATGTGTTTTGAGAGATGTCCGAATGAGGGGTGGGTGTAGTATTTCTTCTGGGGTGGGGATGGGGTGGATGTCCTTGGGGGCGGCCCGGGACTGTGCGTGGCCGGCTGGCTGGCCCCTTTCTTGTGGTGGGGGCTCGCTCCCGGTGCTTCCTGGCACTGTCGGCGGTTGGGCGGGCGCTCTTGGCCGGGTCGTCCTGGTGGGGTTTGGCTCCATCTGGTAGCGGGCTGACTGCGGTCTGTGGGGGTCCTGGTGGCCCTCGGGTGTGTAGGCTGCTGGTGCGGCTTCTGGCGGCCCTCGGGGCTCTGTCCCTCTCTGGTCTGGTGCTCAGCGGGCCTGGCGGTCGGTCCAGATGGAGAGGTGTCTTGGCCTCAATCCCTGGGTGGACCTTGGGGGGCTGGGGGGGGGGGGCTGTTGGGTCAGTGGGGGAGCTGACTCCCTGTGGGAGCATTTGCTCTCACAGTTATTTCTCCCCATCCCTCACCATGCACCTCCACCCTCTTCATTTCAATTCCATACATTTAGGGTTGTTTGGGCTCGGGTGTGCTGCGCTGCAACAATTTTACATCTTTGTTGACCATAGCCACCTGGGACTCAATTTTATTGTACACCTTAGACATTCATTCATAACATCCTCATGACATTCATATATAGGAATTTGAAGTGGGCACATGGCTATGGGTGGTGGGATGACCTTACTCTCACCCCCTGTGCCTGTGCTCACTTACAACGGTTACATTTAGACACTAGGGTTTGGATAGAGTTGGGGTGGAGGGGAAACTGGCACCTTGCCAGCCTTTGCTCCTTCTTCTTTCCTTTTTAATGGCACTACACAACAACACACATCAACAGCACATCTAGGGGTGGGGGTGTATGTGTCGGGGTCTTATTTTTATTTATTTTTTTATTTTTTTTCTCCTCTTCCTACCCACCTAGTTCCCTGACTGCCATTCCGGGGGTGGGGTCCGGGAGAAGGGCAGGCCGTCGGGTGTTGACCAGGACTATGTGGGGGTTCAGGGGCTGGGGGTTGCCATGGGCGGTGCTGGCGCTGTGCTCTCCCTGGGGTTGTTTGGACCCCCTGAGCTTGGCTCTTGGGTGCCATGGTTGGCCCGCTGACCGGGGTGGCTGCCGGGGCCTGGCGGGCGGTCGGCTGGGGGTGCGTGCTTGGTTGTTGGCGGTGTGTGGGGGTGGTTGGTGGCGTGTCCTCTTCATGGTGGGGGGGTGTCCTGTCGGCGGGGCATGGCCTGGGCCGGTTCTGGGGTATTGGCTCTTCTCCGCTCAAGAATGAATGGGTTTACCTCCTGGGTTTGGGCATGGGCTGCCCCCTGTAGAGGGTGGGTACATGTCTTGGACCTGGGGGGTTTAGAGTGCGTATCGGGAATAAGAATGAAATGTATCGTTATTGTATGTCTTTGAGTGAATGAATGTGAGATTGAGGTTGGGATAGTGTGATTGTGTCTGTGTATGAATGGATATTTGTTAGGCCAAGACTCGGACTGCCCCCTCTTTGATACAACTGGGGGTGCTTGGCATCGCGCCCCTATCGCGCGGCCCCCTGGTGGGGTGTGCCCTTGCCTGCCGGCGCGCTTGGGGCCCTTGGTATCGGGGGCTGGGCGCTTGGGCGTGTGTCGGCTCGGCCTGGTGTCTGCCTGGTGGGGCTCGGGTCCTCTGGCCCTGTCAGGCCTTGGCCTGGGTGGTGTGAGTCCTCGGTGCCCGGGCCTCGGTGCCTAGACCTGGACCTACATCGGTGCGGCGGGTGCCGACGGGGGCCTATGAGTTTGTCGCTGTTGGCCCCGGGGGGGTCACTGTATGTGGTTGCTGGTGGGGATCTTCCGGTTCTCCCCTGTGGTCCGTTCTGGGGGGTGGGTGAGTGGTTCGTCCTGTGTGGGTGGCTCTGGGGGCTCCGCGGTCGGGGTCCCTCCTGGGGTCTTGGACTCTGGTCCTCCCTTTTTCGTCTTCCTCTGGTCTTGGGGGTCGGGTCTCTGCTGCTTCACAGTTACTAATAAATGTTCTATTAGAGAAGCCTTAAACACTTATGCATGCTCACAACCACACACAAATAGAAGCAGGGATGCTTATGTAGGCTTTATATTTAGATATATAGATATGTATGTGAGTGTATATTCATGTTTATGTATGTATGTATGTATATAGGCGTAGGTATGGGTATATATATTTATGGAAACTTACTGCAAAGCCATGAATATTTTAAGTTCTTTATACATATGTATTTTGTTGCTGTGTTTTGTCATGTTCTTTGCAGGTGAACAGACAGTGGCCGGGTGTTTTGAAGTGTGCTCTATTTGTATATATTTCTTATATTTTGGAGTCTTACTTTGTCTTTTCTTTCTTTCTATCCTATTGAGAAAAAAAAAAAAAAAAAAAACCTACACTAGATAGTCACTATAATAAATATTTCATAATAATGGTGTGGAGAGGATGGCTGTAAGGGGAGAAGGGAGGCCATCAAATAAAAAAAAAAGAAAAAAAAAATAATTAAAAAAAATAAAAAAATAAATGCCCTGATACAAAGACCTGGTGCTGACAGCTAATTTTAAGAAACTGAAATATACAATACTGTACAACTTTATTTGAAAAGACCATGGAGCACTAACTGGACCGTGTATCACAGGAGGAGGCCTCTTCTTGTCTTTATATTTAGCTGTGAGACACTGTAGTCATGTCAGAGAAAATGCAACAACTGAACTTCATCCATCCATCCATTTTCTTTACCCGTTTATTCCATTTTGGGTCACGGGGGTCGCTGGTGCCCATGTCCAGCAATCATTGTGCGAGGGGCAGGGTACACCCTGGACGGATTGCAAGTCCATCACAGGGCCACATAGAGACAAACGAGACAAACAACCATTCACTTTCTCATGCACACCTAGGGACAATTTAGAGTTACCAATCAGTCTAACATGCATGTTTTTGGTCTGTGGGAGGAAACCGGAGTACCCGGAGAAAACCCACGCATGCACGGAGAGAACATGCAAACTCCACCCAGAAAGGCCCCTGGACCGGGACTTGAACCAGGGACCTGCTCGCTGAGAGGCAGCAGCTCTACCAGTTGCGCCACCGTGCTGCTAACAACTGAACTTCTACCTGAAAAAACATTTCTATTAGAAGTTAAAAAAGAACGAGTGCCAGTTTTCTATTTTTAACGTTTACCCAGCATTTCTGCTTTTAGCCAAGTCTTTAGTATCTTAGTTTTTGGCAAATATTTTGCTCCTATTACACAGCCTTTTTTGCACTTTTAATGTTTTGGCTGGCCTTTTGCCACATTCTGGCTTTTAGCTGGCTTTTTGCCACATTTCACTTTGAGTTCCAAGTTCAAGTCAAGTTTATTGTCATTCACATCACGTGATACATGAGGTGGAATGAAATTATGTACTCAGGGTCCCAGTTACACCCCAAAATAGTAAAAATTTAAAGTGTAAAAAAAAAAAAACAGTTTATAAGTATCTAAAATATGCATTAAACAAGCACCAAACGGTACGCTGAAAGATCTAAAATATGCTAAACACCAATAATGGAAAACAATTTGGCGTAACAGCAGCCTGAGCACGAGTCTGTAGTGAGTAATGGGTATGAATGAATACAGCAGCTGTAGCATGAGATAATCAGCAGCATGAGACAATCAGCAGCATGAGAATCAGCAGCATGAGATCATCAGCATGGATAAGCTGGCCTTTTTCTACATTTAGCTTTCAGCTAAAGTCAGTGGTGTTTGTAACTTTTTTCAGCACTCAGCTTTAACACCACATTTCATTTGCCACAACCATCACTGCTCCCAACAAACTCAATAAGGATTAAATGCATGCTGACCTATGCTGAAACACACACTCTGCCTGTAATACTGTACTGTAAATAGTCTGCCATTCTCAATGTTCCAATACATATTGATTATTATTGATATTGTTTATCTTATTTCTTATATATTGTGTTGTTTATTAACATTTAGGAACTTTTGTGTGAAATCTTTAAATTTTTTAATGTTTTTATCTGTTGCTGCTGTTGCTGCTGATACACTGGAATTTCCCATCCGTGGGACAATAAAGGCTGTTTCTATTCTATTCTATTTAAAATGTTTTAAATATGTGGTCACATAAAACGTCTGTTTAATTTATTAACAGACAAAAGGCAGAACATTAAAATACTTTTAGTAGCTTCAACTCAAAGTGCTTAACATCGTTCAGAAAACTGAGCCAGTTTTACCTTCTTATCGAAGGTTACTTAACTTAGTTTCAAACACAGGATGAGTTATTTATTTATTTTAGGGGACAGCTGGCAGCCCTGGGGGTACCTGATCCTGAGAGCTGCTCTGTCTGGGACACCGACTTGAAGAATAAGCGTGTATGAGGCATGAACACAAAAACAAGGTGACATGTGGAAAAGGTGATACGTTACTCACTCAGCCGCAGTCTGAGTCCCAGCCAGCTCCGTGGGGGGGATTTGTGCAGAACTGAGTTCATGCTCCACTTGTTCGGCACCATCTATGAACTCTGTCCTTGGAGAAACTGCACCAAACCCCGCACAGACTCACAGCTCGGTCCTGTGTGTCGGTGTGTGGCTCAGAGTCTGCACCCCCTCCTTTCAGACCTCAAGAATCAGCGGCCCCCGTCTGCCATGTTTCCAGCCTCTCCTCTCCGGTGAAACGCGGTGCGTTCAGGGTACGGGATCAGGTCGAGGACAATGCAGCAGCAGCTCTTCTCACGTTGGACAAGGGGGTGGGGGGTAAAACACATCCCTCTGAGAGCAAAACCGCTCAACACTATAGTCAGGCTCGGTTCTGAGAGGAACCTGTTGCTGTCTGCTCAGAAAGAAAGACGATCTGCTCGACGTGCTCGGAAAAACTTTGTCGATGCGAGATTATCGACCGGACGCAAATCAGCTTCTTCTCCTCCGGGGGGGCCTTAAAGCCGCGGATCGTGTAGATCCTTTTAGCGACTTTCCAACACAGGCAGCTGAAGTCGGGTTAGTCCTGCCTGTCTGTCTGCTGTCTATCCGCCTTCATTCATTCACACCGTGAGTACTTCAGAAAGACTCGGAGCACTTTCTCACTCAAGTTGGCGCAACACTGCTACTACAGGCGCCAGAACTCCCAACAACACACATGCATGCGCGCGCGCGCGCGCGCGACCACGCACAATCACACACACATCCGTTCATCTGGTTTTCTGTGAGGCGTTCAGGTGAATCTCACATTAAATCTCCCCAAATGTACACATGATTTGTATCCTTAGTGAGGAGAAGTCAGACCTTTCAGGGTGTTATTGTTATCACATGTGAGGGGAATGATCAAAAGTGGCAAGATATAATTATAAAAACAACCAGGGAGCGTTTTAATTTAATCTTTCCTAAGCTATTCTTTCCAAATGAGGACGCACATGAAAGGCTAGTTTCAGAGTGGGCCCTTAACACATCTTAATTACAGCTAAATTGAGAACCGGCTAAATTGAGAACCGGTGAAGCAGAAGCCCTCTGATTGGCTGGAAGTCCTGCGTGGAAAGAAAAAAACTGGTTGGGAGAAATATTTAGAAACCAGCTGAAAATATTATCTGGTTGCTGATTCCATTTCGGCGGCTAGACGAAGTGTTGACTTCATCACGACGAAGGCATAGAAACAAATTAACGTGGACGAAGGAACGACGAAGGCTTGGAGGAAATCACGATCAAAGGAGGAAACTTGGAAGAATTAAACTCGGAAACTTTGGCGGTTGGCATAAACCGGTTTGTGAATGAATCGGGATGGCAGTTAAGGAGGTAGAAGAGGAGGATTTAGATAGTGACGTGGATATAGGTAGTTGGACGCCTGCAACAATTAAACGGGGAAATGGGAAAATCAATAATAATCAGGTGGATGGAAATTCAGTAAATAAAAGATATCTGGAAGGAAATAGCTCAGATGAAGGGAATAGTGGGATGCGTAAAAAGATCATGAAAGAAGAAATCAAGATAATTTTAAAATTTAAAAAAGATGAACATATTACTCTAAGCCCAATAACAATATTCAAGGAAATCAAAAGGATAATAGGGGAGGTTGAATTGGCAAAAACCTTAAGAGATGGCAGCCAAAACCAGCAGCAAACTGTTTGATCCATTCTGAGAAGGTGCTATTTAAGAGACTGAGCTGAAAACAGCACCTCAGACTGAGGAAGTCTCTTAGATGAGAGACGAAACGTTTCTATATTTTTTTGCTTTGTTTTATTTTTTGTTTTTTTGAATGTCCAGAGGACCAGATTGAACTTTTTTGGATTTTTCTACCTGGATTATTGAGCATGCATCAGGATATTGTTAGAAATATATAATAAAATATGGGAATGTGGGAAATGGCCTAAAAGCTGGAAAGAGGCTGTAGTAATACCAGTTCCAAAACCAGGGAAGGATTGTGCAAATCCTGTAAACTATAGACCGATTGCATTAACATCATGCTTGTGTAAGATTATGGAGAAAATGGTAAATGAAAGAATAACATTTTATATAGAAACTAAGGGTTCCTTGGCTAAATATCAAAGTGGTTTTAGAAGGGGAAGGAACACTATGGACTCTGCCGTTTGTTTACAACATGAAATTAAAAAAAGCTCAGGTTAATAAAGAGAGTGTTCTGGCTGTATTCTTAGATATAGAGAAAGCTTATGACATGATGTGGAAAGAAGGATTAATGTTCAAACTAAGGGATATTGGCATTAATGGCAGATTATATTATTGGCTTGAAGATTTTTTAGTAGATCAGATAATACAGGTAAGGATTGGACAGACTTTATCAGAAAATTTTGATATTGATAATGGTATTCCACAAGGTAGTATTATCAGTCCATTATTGTTTTCAATTATGATTAACGATGTATTTGAGGAAATAGAGAATGACATGGGTTGCTCTCTTTTTGCTGATGATGGGGCTATATGGAAACGTGGAAAAAATTAAAAATTTCTTTCTTAAAAAGGTACAGAATGCAATTTATAAGATTGAGCAATGGTCTTATAAATGGAGTTTTAAATTTTCTGTTGATAAAACGAAACTTATTCTTTTTACAAATAAAGTAAATCGGGAAATAAAATTGAAGTTATACAACCAGGACATTGAGAGAGTAAAACAATTCAAATTCTTAGGATTATGGTTTGATGAGAAACTGAACTGGACATTTCATATTCAAAAGGTTATAGACAAATGTAAAAAGATACTGAATGTAATAAAGATGTTTAGTCGGATACGATTGGGGTGCAGATGCACAAGCATTAAAATTAATTTACATAAGCCTTATAAGGTCAACAATAGATTATGGTTGTTTAGTATATGGATCAGCTTCAGACACAGCTCTCAGAAAACTGGATACAATTCAATACCAGGCTTTGAGATTAATCTCAGGTGCAATGAAAACAACTTCAACTTCAGCTCTACAGGTAGAGACGGGAGAAATGCCACTAACATTAAGAAGGAGACAATTATCATTAAATTATTGGGCTAATCTAAAGGGACACAGTCAAAATCATCCTGCACAGGTAATTTTACAACAATGTTGGGAGATGGACAGAGCAGACAACAAATTTCATGTCTTGAAAATAATACAGGAAACAAAGGAATTAGAAATACATAATTTAAAAATCAGTCCAACTGTGCCATCATCAATAATTCCACCGTGGATTATACCTGAGGCCAATGTAGACTTAACTTTGTTACACAGAAGGAAATTAGATAAAACATTCATATGTAACTCAACAATAGTACAAGAGTACATAGAGAAATATTATGATTAAGTACAAATTTATACAGATGCTTCCCAGAGTCTGTCAGGTGATACAGGAGTAGCAGTTATAATTCCAGAATTTAAACTTAACATAGGGAAGAAAGTGAATGAAGGACTCTCTGTTTATACTGCAGAAATGGTTGCAATAATGTTAGCAATGGAATGGGTAGAAGAAACAAGACCTTTAAGAGCTATCATCTGTTCTGATTCAAGCTCATCATTAATCAGTTTACAAAGAAGTCACTCAGAAAGTCGTCCAGATATTTTGATAGACATTCAGCAAATATTATATTGGATTTAGATGATGGGGTTAATTCTTGTGTTTCTATGGGTACCAGTACATATAGGAGTCAAAGGAAATGAAATGGCAGACAAGAAGGCCAAAGAGTCTGCAAAGGGAAAATAAATTAATGTAAGAGTATCTTTTAGTAAGTCAGAGACTAAAAGTATTATTAAAAGAAAAATTAGAGAAAAATGGCAGAAGCAGTGGGAAGAGGATGTAAAAGGAAGATGGCTCTATAGAATTCAAAGGAAGGTTGGAGAAAATAGAAGAGGTGTTGGAAGAAATAGATTACAGGAAAGAATAATAACTCGGCTACGGTTAGGTCATTCAGGACTTAATGCAACGTTACATATAATGGGGAAACATGACACAGGAAGATGTGAGTTTTGTGGGGAAAGTGAAACTATAGAACATGTAATGTCTGTCTGTAGGAAATACCAGAGAGAAAGAACAGAAATGATAACGAGTCTTGAACGAGAAAAAGAAAAGTATAATATTTTACACTTATTAGGGAAAATATATTGTGATGCAAGTCTTAAGATTATTTTTCGTTATCTAATAGTAACGGGGTTGATTAAAATAATAGTTTTTTTTTTTTTGCTTGCTAGTCCTGATTCACACTCCTTACTGGTGGTGGCGGTAATGCACCAAATGTTGTTTGCCAACCGCCATAAAAAACCAAGAAGAAGAAGAAGAATTATCTGGTTGCTTTTTTTTTTTTTTTTGACTCGACTCGAGACTCAGGACTGATCGGCTTGGGACTCAGACCTGCGTGCGTTGGTCCTGGAAGTGGGTGAGAACGTTTTGAATAGTGATGGCCAAATGACGCAATAAAGCAGTATTGAACCACTTTGCCAATTGTATTGAACTTGGGTTCATTCATTCAAAGGTTCATTTCAGTGACATCTAGTAGTGTAATATAGTATATATTTAAATATAGGGTCCGTGTGTCCTCCCCCAGAAAAATTGGAATAAAAACGATGCCATTTCCTGCATTTTGGTGTATTTTAACAGGTTGTTAAACATTTGAATAAACTGGTTAAAAACAGGTCTCTCTTGACGAGGCTCAAGGCTAAACCTGTATAAATAAAGGTTGAATTGAAATTACTATGCCTGTGTATGAATGCACGTCCTTGACAGTCTTGTCAGGTGACCTACCCCCCCCCCCACACACACACACACACACAAACACACACACACACACACAGCCGACCTGAACTCTTCTCAGCTGAATTCAGTCCTGTGTTCTGCTCCAGTCTCACTGCCATCCATCCATTTATTTTAGATAAATTGTCTTTTCAACATTTTGATCTCTGTTATTTTGACTAATTAGTGCCGTTGTTTTAATACTTGATGTAATGCACATCAAACACTTCACTCGTTTTTTTTTTGTTTTTTTTTACTGTAAGCTTATTTATTATGTCTGAAATGTTATGCACTGTAATGTATGCAGGAGTTCCGACAC